GCTTTGTAAAAGAGGAGTAGAGGAACCAATTTCAGATAAAATATTTTCTTGATAATTTTGACCCCCACCATTTTTAGATTTAAAAGGAAATTTTTCTTCATAAAAAATTGCATCACCTTATTCAAAAATTATTTTGTTTTCCATATCAAAAAATCTATAGGCTGTATTATTTGTTGTATATCCAAGAAAAGCATAAGTGGCAGCTTTCACACCTAATTTAGGTCTTTTAGGGTCCACAAGTCTAACAAAAGCTAGACAACCCCAAACCCTCAAATATTTCAAATTTGGCTTATGTCCTTTTCACAACTCGAAAGGTGTAACTTTTATTTTTTTATGTGGCACTCTATTCAAAACATAACATGCAGTTAAAATTGCTTCTCCCCACAAATTTGAAAGAGCACTTGCTTCAATTAGCATAGCATTTGTTAAATCAGTTAAAGTTCTATTTTTCCTTTCTGTTACACCATTAGATGCAGGAGAATATGGTGGAGTAGCTTTATGGATTATTCCCAAAGACAAAGCAAACGAGTTGAATCCAAAAGATTCATATTTCCAGCCTCTATCACTTCTATATTTTTTAATCTTTTTATTGAATTGATTTTCAACTTCAAGAAGGAATTCTTTAAATTTTTCAAAAGCATCACTTTTATTTTTCAACAAGTATACATAAGTGTATTTTGAAAAATCATCAATAAAAGTGATAAAATATTTATTTCCACCACGTGTTAAAATTCCTTCAAATTCACATAAATCAGTGTGAATTAATTCTAACAATTCAGTATTTCTCACCACATTTTTATGAGGCCTTTTAGTTATTTTTGCTTGACTGCAAACTTCACATTTCTCAAACTTATTTATTAGTCTGGGAATTAATCCTAAACTGCTCATCACTCCCACATATCAGCTATTAATATGACACAGACGAGCATGCCAAAAATTCATAGAAGACATCATGTAAACAGAAACATGTGCTTTCTTATTGTCAACATTTAATTTAAACATTCCATCACAGGCATACCCTTTTCCCACAAATATGCATTTTTTAGTGATTACATATTGATCAGATTCAATAGTCTGCTTGAAACCAGGTTTGTTGAGCAAATAATTTGACATTAGATTTTTTTCTCATGGGCGGTGTGTACAACACATCTTTTAAGACAAGTACACGTCCAGAGGTAAAATTCAGCTCAACATCCCTATACCTGAGCACCTTGGTTAAACTAGAGTCACCAAGCATAACACTCATCTCCTCATTAAAAGGAGTGAAATCTTTGAACCAATCTTTATCATAGCAGACATGTCTATTGGCACCAGAGTCTGCCCACCACCCTTCCACAGATTGAACCATAAAAATGTCTGTAATCATAGCCACAAATAGTTCCTCGGTAACATTAGTCTATGGTCGAGACTGTTGTTTCCGAAATTTGCAAGTTCGAGCAATATGCCCACTTTTGCCACACACAAAACATGTCACATTTGTCAGATCTTGTGAAGGTGGTTCTTGGTTCCATTTCTTTTGCCTCGGGTAATTTTTATTTTGTGGCCTTCCAGTATTTTTCCAAATTTTCTTAACTGGTTTCAAGTGACTATTTTTATGAAATCGACCTTTAGATAAAGTATTTCCAGAAGTTAAATTTACCTTTGCAGTGGAATGCTCTTGTGTCATAAGCGCATCTTGTCCTCGTGCTTCCTCTTCCACCTGGATTTGTATGATTAGAGTCTCCAAGGTCGTCTCTTTTTGCTTGTGACGCATTGACTTCTGGAACTCCCTCCAAGATGATGGAAGTTTGTCAACAATACCTGCTACAACAAGATTGTCTCCAATTTTGATGCCTTCAGATCTAACTTCGGCTACTAACATCTAAAAATCTTGAACTTGCTCCACCACTGATTTTCCATCTATCATCTGATAGCGAAAAAAACAGCTTGCAGCATATTTTTTAGCGCCTGCCTCTTCAGTGTCATATTTGTTCTACAAGGCTTTTCAAATTTTCTTGGCAGTGGTGTAAGTAGTATCATAATAATCATAAAATTGATCTGAAAGACAATTCAAAAGATAATATCGACATTTATACTCATCTGTGTTGTATTTCTCAATTTTTTCAAGATGAGCAGCATACTCCTCATCAGTCATCTCTTCAGTGGGGACTTTGTTCGGATTTTTCTCGGTCAGGATATAGGTCACCTTGAGGAGACTGAGGTAGAAAAGCACCTTGCCTTTCCATCTCTTGAAATGGGCTCCCTTGAACCGGAAGGGCTTGTTGAGATCACCGGTATTCTCGTTGGGCTTCTCCAATACTGGCTCCATGAATTTTTGCTAATTGAATCTCCTTAAAATTGTTGGTGATAATTACAAATAAAATACCAGAAAGTACAAATAATAAAAATTACAGTAACTATTGTAAGGGCTAAGGCGCAGGAAATTCGCTCTCTTTAAGGAGATTCAAGCCCTCTGCGGTTAGGCAAAGCCTCACACCGGTGCAGCAGAAAAAACCTTGACTTGTCCCCCCAGGATACAACAGCCCGACTAAGTCGTATGGTTAACCAATACTGCACAATTGGTTGAACCCATAGCTTTTTCACATACATCCTTTTTTATTTGTCTGATAATCTCACACAAGTCATAACAAAGCAACAAAAAACTCCTTCACTCGTATCACCCAACATAGAGATTAGCTCAATATATATAGAAGATAAGGCTTGGAAGGTTTTTCCTTTGGGATTAAGAAAGAGATAAAGACTTGGAGAAGACTTGATGTGAATAAGTCTTGGAGAAGACTTGACAAGGACTTGGATGGCTTATCTTGGAAGACTAGGAGTGGATAAGAATTGAGAGACTTGGGGAAGACTAGGAAGACTTATCTTGGAAGTCTTGGAAACTTGTATGGTAAGCAAACTAGGTAGAAATGAAAAGAAAAGCAACCTATAACACATTATAATATTAAAATATCTGCTAACAATATAGATATGTATTCTAAAATCAAAGTTACTAACCATTGTGAGTATGTCATGAACATAACTATTTGTGATGAGAAAAGTTATGATATGGTGTGATGTTTGTTAGAAATTTTGTGTCTATGTTATGTAAATTACCATTATATGCACATGTAAGCCTTGTTTGAGAAGTTAACTATTTTAGCCTTCATTTGGAAAGTGGTTGGCTTTTTGAGTTTTTGACTTTTTTGACTATTTTAGCCTGGGCTAAAAAGCTTGGTTTGGAAAGGATTTTTTAACTTTTTTTGGCTTTTTTGTGAGAGAATGGTGTAATGATTATGGGTTGGATGTGATGTTTTGTTTGTTGTGGCTAAAATAGCCTATTTTGTCTTTTGTGGCTATTTTAGCCACAAACCAACTTGTCAAACAATGCTTTAGTTGGTTATTTGATTTTTTGGTTATTCTAGTTTGATTAAAATAATTGTATTTGAAAAGTTGGTTGACTTTTTTTTCTTTTTTTTTTGTAGTTGATTTGATGATTATAAGAGAAAAAATAAAATGATTATAGATTAAATGTGACATTTTATTTTATTAATTATTTTAACCTATCCTATCTTTTAATGAACTATTTTATCTTAGCCCTCTTCCCAAACACCCGGTAGTATGTATTGTTTAGGGGTATGTCTTTAGTTGGTTATTTGATTTTTTGGTTATTCTAGTTTGATTAAAATAATTGTATTTGAGAAGTTGGTTGACTTTTTTTTTTTTTTTTTGTAGTTGATTTGATGGTTATAAGAGAAAAAATAAAATGATTATAGATTAAATGTGATATTTTATTTTATTAATTATTTTAACCTATTCTATCTTTTAATGAACTATTTTATCTTAGCCCTCTTCCCAAACACCCGATAGTATGCATTGTTTAGGGGTATGTAACTTTTGCAACAATCTAGTGATTAAACTACTATGGGGTGGTTAAATGCCTACCAAATATATTAAACTTTGGATCATCTTTCCTATCAATTACAGAAAACTGGAGCCTTCATTTTTTTAGTCCATTTATTTAACAATTTAGTAGTAAATGCACAACAAATATTTTACAAATAAACATAGTAATGATCCTGTTCCCTTAAATGCAATTCCAAATTCTGTTTCAAATATTTGTTTAAACTCTTACACATACATCTGCGTTGATTTCGCCCATTTCTGCAGACAACCCAATTTAACCTAACCACAAAAACGATTTATATAATTGGATTGGAGGTTCAATTTAGGGCCATGTAGGCCCACCTCATTGATCAAATCATTAATTTTTAATGTTTTATGAGTAAATTATTTATAAAAAAAAATTAAGTTAATTGAATAGTGGTAGTTGTATGTTTGGGCCACATTTTGTCTTTAAAAAAAAAAGAAGACAATTTATTCTTAAAATCATAATTACAATTTATTTTAAGATAACTGTGATCTAACTATATGGTTACTAATATTTGATCAACATGATATTTTATACAAATGATTTATTTGTGTGACATTAAATGTTAAACAGCTTGGATTATAGGGATGGATCCAAGTTGGGCTCACAAGGCCATAAACTTGTCCCTCTAGTCCAAGCCTCATTTTTTTATGCCATAGAATTTTCGGAAGACATAATTAATTTGGAATATCTGTAATCACCTACATATTACATATTTCGATCAAGTCTAAGAGGTATTGGCAAAAATCAAACTCAAATTGTTTGAATTTACAGCTCATCCCAAAGCTAGTCTCCTTAAATAAATGCTAGGCTGCCGATGATTGTCGACATATAAATAATTGTCGATATAAATAATTTCTTGTAATCAACTAAGGGAAATTTCCCTCAAACCAAACAGGTATACATGAGATCTAATGCTAACCTGGTTGATAATAAATAAAATAATTCTTGCAACCAACAGAGGGAAGATTCCCTCAAACCAAACAGACACATGAGATCTAATGCCAACCCCTATATGTGACACCCAACTCCACTCTCTAAGCTTCATTGCCTCAAACACCACAAACCATTTTCCAAATACCCATTTCTCACAATGTCTCAATTCCTTCTTGTTTGCTTGATCTTAGCAAATGCTTTTGTGCTTAATGTAGCATCATCTTTCCCAAACCTTCCATATCCGAGCCCGCGAAAGCTCGGAAACCACCATGTTAATGTTGTGATGTCCTCTGTTGCTCCATGTTTGAGCCCATCCAGAGCACCTGAAAGTGAAGCTGTGAACTCTGTGAAAGAGGTCAGTGCATCAGATCAAGTGACGCGGTTCCTCCCGGGGCAGCAAGTTCGGATAGAAAAGCAGCACCGTTCCATTGATAGGTCAGTTGCTGGAGGCGGAGTGATTCTTGGGGGCCTTGCCACCACTTTCTTGGTGGCTGTTTTTTGTTACATCAGGGCAACTGGGAAGAAAAATGCAGAGCCTGAAGCCTAAAATAGTGTTCTTTTTTTTTTCATATGTGAATACATGTATAGAATTGAGAGTAGAATATGATTTTGCTAGCATCATTCTAAAAAGAAAAATAAAATAAAATTGGAAAAGAGAAGTCATTGTTCATTGACATAAAGTGGCTGATTGAATCAATAATCTATACTATGTATTAAGGCTCCGTTTGCCAAGAGTTAAACGGGGCTTTTTTTGGCTATTTTAGCCACAAAAGATAAAATAGATTATTTTAGCCACAAGAAACAAAATATCACATCCAACCCATAATCATTACATTATTCTCTCACAAAAAAAGTCAAAAAAGCTAAAAAGCCAAAAAGCCAAAAAGCCCTTCCCAAACCAAACTTTTTAGCCCAAGCTAAAATAACCAAAAAAGTCAAAAAGTTAAAAAGTCAACCCACTTTCCAAACGGAGGCTAAGTAAATTGGGGTTTTTTTAACTCACAGGCCTTATGAGAGCTCCAATATCTTAATTCTAATTTTCTAATTTTTTGATTTAACAAAAAAAAAAAAATCTCAGCATTTATTGTTTCTCTCAACCCAACCTCAACATTTATTACTTTTTCCAACCCACAATCCCTTTTGACTTCTCTCATAATTACTGCAGCACACTTTTCAATTTCTTTCATATACTATGGTTACACACAAAAATAAAGAAGATAAGAATTTAGCTATAGATCTCAAAAAAGATAACATCTAAATTTGAATTATGATTTAGTAATATAATTATGTATTTTTTTTATATATATATCTATCAAAGTTTTAAATCACTTAATGAGACAAATTAATCAATTTTCTAATAACTCACAGGCTTTGTGAGAGCTCCAATATCTTAATCCTAATTTTCTAATTTTTTGATTTAACAAAAAAAAAAACTCAGCATTTATTGTTTCTCCCAACCCAACCTCAACATTTATTAACTTCTATCAACCCACAATCCCTTCTGATTTCTCTCATAATTATTGCAGTACCTTTTCCAAAACAAATAATTTGTATATTAAAAAAAAATTAAAACAAATATAAATATATATATATATATATATCTATATCTATCTCTAATCCATAAATTTTGTGAGAGTTTCAATATCTTAACCTTAAGTTCATAATTTTTTTGATTTTTTTTTTTAAAAAACTTAGCACTTATTAAATTCTTCCAAGCCTTTTTAACTTCTCCAATACACACACTCTTTTTAACTTTTCACATACCTATTGCAAACAGTGAGTCTCATTTTTGTTTTCTCATGCTTGACTTCTCACTTCTACACTTTCAACTTCAATGACCACGTATGCAAATAGTAAGTCTTCTTTTTGTTTTCTCGTTCTTGACTTTTCCTTTTGTTTACTATTTTAATATTATAGTTAGATAGCACATAAAAATATTTGTGATTTTTCTAGCGAATAAAAAGTTATAATTTGATTTTTTAATATGATTGAAGTTAGATAAATATAAACCTTTACAAAGAGAAAAATGTGATTATAATTAGTTGAATGATTCTTTTTTTTAATGTGATTGTAGTTAGTTTAATAGTTTTTTTTTTCATTTATTTATTTTATTATGGGAAAAATGTGATGTGATTGTAGTTTGTTCAATAAAAATATTTGTGATTCGAATGATTGAACTTATCTCATTTTTTGATGTATTTCGTCTAGCCAAAAAAAAAAATTATAATTTGATTTTTATTTAAAATCCCCTCATACAGATAATTATAGATACAACTCGTGCATAGTTACTGCAATACCTTTTTTAATTTCTCCAATATATTATGGTTAGTGATAAGATTGTTAAATTATTTTTATAAAAAAATTTTAAAAATATAATTTATATATTAAAAAAAATTTAAATAAATGTAAATATTTATAATTATTCCGTGATAGGCTAGTTTTAGCGATCGAAATGGTTTGGTGGGAAATGTATCTATTCAAATAGGAAAATGTTAGGTACACTGTCTGGAACTTTTTCTCAAGTGACACGACCAATAAATTAGTGAGCAGCCATTGGGCGACACGCGTGCACTCACCATGTTCGTATTTAGGAAAATTGGCTATTTACAATTTTTTTTTTTTTTGATAACTCGATATTCAAGTTAATTTGTGTATATCTTGACTAATTTAGAAATTTTAAAATTAACAATTGAACAAATTTCGAGACCTTGGATCTTATCTATTTTTATTTTTTTTAATACATTGAAAGCTATATAGTCTAAGAGAATAATATTTTACCTATGATAAGATTCGAACTCAACGCCCTAATGAATTGCAGAAGTTTTGGTCAACAAAACTATTCCTAATTGATTTTTACAAATCATTTGCGATATTATCTATCACCCTTGATGCTATTGATGGGTTGCCTCTTAGCTACTACCCAAAAAAACAAATTAAAAATCTTTTGTTCAAAAGATTTATTTAATTGTAGGTTGATGCATAATTACTTTAATAGCAATACGGCTCATTGAATCGAATCATTCATGTTTGACCATTGTGAAATTAATTCCATTTTTCTCTAAGATTAATAAACAAAATTAGGTGTTAATTATATATTTAAAAACATCAACTAGGCTCGACTGATTATTGTTTGCTTATATGAGTTCGGTCCTTGAAGTTTATTGTACGATTCTACACTCAATTGAGATGGTGTCACATTGACATCATTTTTTTTTTTCTACCATTAACTTAGCAAAAATAAACAGATAGTCGAGATTTGTTATCAATTTATAAATGTAAGATTTAAATTCAAAAAATTAAAATTACAGGATTTAATTTGTTGTAGCAGTTAAATTTTTTTTAATTTTTTTTCTTTAGAGTTTTCACTTAAATTTTTATTTATGATTTCAAAAATTTTGAAACTGTAAACAAAAATGCATTTGGAGTCTCTTTGCATTTTCAAAAAGTATAACTAGTAATAAAATTTACTAAATTTTGGTAAACAAAAAGAAAATTTCTTTTCAATTATTTCGAAAAATAATTTTGTTTCTTCTTCCATTCCTCACCTTTTCAGGCCGCTTATCACACCACCTTCAGCCAACCTCACTTACTCATTTTCAAAACAAATTTATAAAACACGTGTACAAAAGATTAATGGCCATGGCCATGAAGGCCCCATATGTAGAAACTCAATGGTTCATATATGAGAAGAAGAACAACAAAAAAGAGGAGGGTGAAGGGTGGGGGTAATGTTACACTCATTGAAAAATTGTACAATTTTTTTTAGGGTAAATTACAAACACACTCCTTGAGATTTATTTAAATTATAAATTATCCCTTGCGGTTCTAAAAATTACATTATGTCCCCTAAGGTTTCTAATTTCATAACAAATAGGTCCTTTTATTAATAAATCATCAAGTTAATTAACAGTTTTTAATAATATTAAAATTTTATTTCAATTAATAATTCAGATAATTTTATTACTGTATAGGCGAACAGTTAAAAATTTTATTTTTTCAATTAATTCTGTTAAAAAAAAAATTCTAACAGGGAGGTGTTTGTAATTTCTCAAATCATAAGGGGCAATTCGTATTTTAAGCAAATCTCAAGGGGGGGTGTATTTGTAATTTACCCTTTTTTTATTATTACAAATTGATGTAAAGTAGTAATAAAATTAAAAATTTGAAATGATCTAATAAGATAAAATAATAAAAACTGCATCATTATGTAAGAAATGATAATTTTTTTTATGAGTGATATAAACAATAATTTTTTTTCATGAATATGAACAAAAAATTCTACAAATTAACGTTCGAATTATCAAAAGAAAACCCGTAATAAATCTCACAAATCTAAAAGGTTATTTGGCATGCACTATATAAGTGCACTTGTTTGAGTCACATCATTCTCTATTTTTCCGCATATTTTTTTGTAAAAAATTAAAAAGTATACTTATTTAGATCATTTAAAACACTCCCTAAATATATTGGTCAAATTTAAATTTAAATTTAAAAAATCTAACCCTAAATTCTATTTGTTTGTAGAGGAATTGAAGCGGCATGAGCTGGGGAGATTCTTTAACAAAGCCGTCCAATCACAAAATTTCTTACAATAAAACAAGGAATTAATTAATTAAAAACGAATTTATGAACTCTAATGTTTGAACTCACTTGACGACTTTGTTGAAAGAATCAAATCAAAATGAGAAAATTTTATATAATATTTATTACTAGTTCAACATTTGTTCAAAGGGCTTGGCGTCTGTCCAGTCCTTAATCGGACTGGATCGGGTTGTTGAGTCCATAGAGGTTTACTACGGGTCCTGTTTTGATAATTTGAACCGTTGAATGTGTAGAATTCGTCGAGTACTATAAGCCTTTAAAAAATCACATTAATCGGATATCGGTAGCTATGTGATCAAATCAGTTTTGTATAAAAAAATAGACGGTGAATAAATTAACGGTTGACAAAAATCTGATTTGATCACATAGCTACCGATATCCGATTAACGTGATTTTTTACAAGCTTATAGTACTCGACGAGTTTTACATATTGAACGGTTCAGATTATCAAAACGGGACCCGTAATAAGTCTTTATGAGTCTAATAACACGATCTAATCCGATTAAAGACTGATCAGAAGCCAACGCCTTGTTGAAAACACCATCTATTAACTACAAACAAGAAAGTTTGAAATAAGGTGGAAACATGTGGCACAATCCCTGTTTTCATTCCAGAAAGCCAACTTTTCACTTTCCTCTAGAATTGCCACACTTCAAACACAGAGAGCTAACACCCAACAACCCTTCTAGAGAACAATTCAAAACTTCGTCATTTTTCTTTCAGAAATTCCTACTCAAATTTTAAATTCAAATACAATTTAAATAAATCATTCAAGATCTCTTAACTATTTAACAAAAATAGATCAATATTATCTCATGAAAAATGCTAGAAATCTATAATTTTAGATTCATAGATTCACCCATAATAATGTTGCAAGAGAGTTGACATTTATATCACTGGGTGTATAAAAAATTAAAAGTTGACACTTACCATATCACATTTGGG